CAGGGAGATCTGTGGGGTTTGCAGGACCCTGCATCAAACGTGGCTCAGCCATCACAAACCTTCCACCTCTGGAGCAATTCTGACAGAGAAACCTGCTCATCTCAGAGCCACAGCCCTGCCAGGTGATCACCAAGAGCATTTGGACAATGGCTTTTCATGCCTTTCAGCTGCCAGGATCACACACTCTTCAGTCTGCTCTAGTTACATGACTGGCCAGGAGCTAAATTCTCCCTGACAACAATCGAGTTGTTCTTTAGAGCACAGCTTTCCTTTCTCCCCTCTTGTGATGCTTTCCAGTAACAAAAGCAGCCAGCCCCAGCACCCCAGGACTTGCTCTTAGCTGGAATGGAAATATGGGAATCCAGGAAAAGAAATCTTATTTGCACTTCCTGAAGACTTGCTGAGAAAAGCTCAGCAGGAGCAACATCATCCCCTGAGATCTCCAGCCTTGGGTCACGTTTCCTTGTTCCTATAAAGAATATTGCTCTTCTCCTTCCATAAACCCCTGGATTTACACCAGCAGGGTGGGAACTACCTGAGCATAACCTCCAGCAGACATAACTCCTCATTTATCTCCAGCTCAGATAATGGACCTGAGGGTGTAGATCAGCTTGGGGAGCATGCACTGTGTGCTGCCTTAAATGCTGCTATAAAATAAGGAGGTTTATGAATTCCTGTTGTTTAGTTAATCATCGATTTATCTCAGAGCCCTGCACACTGCAAGGCAGCTCAACTTGAGGGGAAAAAGGAAAAGAGATACAATTTTATGGGAAGATAAAAACAGAGGTTTATTATACATAACCATTAGAGTTCCTCCCCTTCAGATGTTTCGATGTCTAATGAAATTTAAAGCTCTCTGTTTTCCTCCCTCCTCTACAGTGATGATTGCCTTTAGATATACACCCTAGTTACAGTAACATAACCAGAAATGATGGCATGCCATAGGTATTTTATTATGCATTCCGTTTTTTAGGGCTCAGATTCTATCTGCACCACAGAAACCTGGTCAGTAAAACTGCCAGAACTTCTGCAAAGACAGCAAAACTGACAATTCCCCGTTTCATATCACATTTTCAAACATATCTCCCTCTTAAATGTTACAGGTCTTCTAAATTTGATGCCAATAAACACATTTTCCCCCTTAAATGTGTCCCAGGAAGCCAAACAAATCCATTAAACACAGCGAGTGCTGCCCCTGGAGCAAATGAAACCAGGCAGCCCAGGCTCACACTCCCCTGGCTGCTCATTTTTGGGAAGACACTTCTCAGTTTTATTGGACATAAAGGTGTGGGAATGGGGGGAGAGGATTCAGTGTCTACACATCCCTCCCAGAAAATGAAAATACAGCTGCTGTAAATGGTTTTAAATTTAAATGTAACAGAGATTTTAGAAGGAAGAGCACTCTGAAGCAGGACATAGGGCCAAGCTCCCTGGCCAGGGGTGCAAATTTGCACCAGAGGCTTTAGGGAGGAAGGGATGACACAAATGCCACATCTCCTACCCCTCTTGTCACAAGCTTGCCCAGGTGGTTCCCAGCAGGATCCTCACCTCCCCCAGGGGCTCCTGTGCCCACATCCCCTGGCACCAGCTCCTCTAAGCAAGCACCCAGCAGAGCCTGCTCCAGACCCCCCAAAATCACTGAATCCAAACTGTCCCCACTCCCTCACCTCACCTGGGGACACCAGACCCCCCAAAATCACTGAATCCAAACTGTCCCCACTCCCTCACCTCACCTGGGGACACCAGACCCCCAAAATCACTGAATCCAAACTGTCCCCAGTCCCTCACCTCACCTGGGGACACCAGACCCCCAAAATCACTGAATCCAAACTGTCCCCACTCCCTCACCTCACCTGGGGACACCAGACCCCCCTCCTTGGGCTGCTCCTTGCACTGGGGACCCATCCACACTGGATGCAGCTTCAGCTGCTGCATCTGACCTCATACAGCAGGGAAAAAATCCATTTGCTGCCAGTTCCAGCTGAGGTACCCACCCTGCTCCTGCTCCTGAATGCTCTCCTCGGATCACCCCAAAGCTAATCACTGAACAAGTGTTTGCTCCTGTAATTTAATCTAAATAGACAACAGAACTCTTGTAAAAATGAGACAAAAGACATGGCAAGACACACTTCTGTGTGCCTAACAAAAGCAGCAAATTGTGGAAGTGAACAGCTCTGAAGGGCTTTTCAAATGGTTCACTTGGCTGATTTTGGGCTGTCAGCAAAAATTACCAGTGAGGTGCCCTGCTTGAAAGGGTCTGTCTGCTGCTCCTGCTGCTCCTGCCACCCACCAGCCCCAGCCACAGGGACCTGCCTCTGCTTTCTCAACCATTTGGAGCCCAAATTTGGAGGCTTTTCCTCCATGGCCTTAGAACCAGGTGGAGGTGCAGCTCCAGGCAGCCCAGGAGCAGCAGACTGGGTCAGAGAGGAGGCTGCAGAGCCTTTAGCAAAGCCACAGAAAAGTGATCCCCCTGCTCTGACAGGGTTTGGGTGGGGCTGAGGGAGACTGGCTGGCACAGGAGCTGCTGGGAACATCAGGAAACTGCATTTTTTTCCAGCTCTGTTTTTTTGAAGTGCAGAATGAAGAGATCTGTGCTAGCCATTAAAGCAGGAACCCCTGGGCCACAGCCTGTGGCATCTCCCGTGACTCCCCACCTCTGAGCACCCTTTGGAACAAGCACAGGTAAGGAGAAAACAATTCCTGCCAAAATCTGAGTTCACCAGTCTGGTGAGATCTGTATCTGGAACAGGAGAGCTGGAGAGGGACTGGGGACAAGGGATGGAGGGACAGGAGCCAGGGAATGGCTCCCAGTGCCAGAGGGCAGGGCTGGATGGGATTTTGGGCAGGAATTGTTCCCTGGCAGGGTGGGCAGGGGCTGGGGCTGTCCCTGGATCCCTGGCAGTGCCCAAGGCCAGGCTGGACAGGGCTGGGAGCACCTGGGACAGGGAAAGGTGTCCCTGCCGTGGCTGGGGTGGGATGGGTGGGATTTAACATCTCTCCCAGCCCAAGCATTCCATAATTCCGTGATTCCCATGCCATGGGAATGCCACTCCATGTGCTCAGTGCACAGAAATCCTCTGGCTTGGCAGCACCAGTGATTTGCCTCGTTGGATTTAGAGGACAAATCTGGGGAGAAAAAAGTCTGGGATATTAAGAGGAGGTGCCATGCTTTCATCTGGAAATACTTTTAAGGATCTGAGCTGACCCTCAGCCAATTTAACAGCGACAGTAAAAGCAGCTCAAGTCAGTGGTTAAACCTCAAAGGGATCCCTGAATTGTGCTTGACTTAATGAATCCAATAATCGATTCCTGCTGCACAAATAAGGTGTGGGATGGATCAGCTAATAAGCGTTCTCAGTTAATTGCTTTCTTCAAGTGACAATTTGTACAAATGATACCATCAAAGTAGTAATAATATCCCTATTGATTAAATTAATCTCAAAGAGACAACTCAAATAACTTTAATTAGCAATGCATGACACAAGCACAAAACACTCTGAAAACAACCTTGCAGCCCATCCCAGACTTTCTGCATTTATTTTCATCCAGGAATCATCGAAACAACCAAGGAACCCCCAAGTTACTTCTGGGACTCCAGACACCCACAAAAAGATTTTTGGAGCTCAAGAATCTTTAAAATTCTCCTTTCTGTGCAGTCTTACAAAGCAGATTTCTATGTATTTTGGCTCTTAAAACCAGCAGAAATTTAAAACCTTGACCAGAACACACAGCACGAGTGTGAAAATGTATGGCTTAGAAACTCAAGCTTGGGAAAGTCACCTGGGGAAGAGTAGGGTGTTTTTTTTCCCAAAAGGATGCTTATTGGCCTTTCTAAAAAATTCAGCACATGAAAAAGAAGAGGACAGATGCTCATCACTTCCTCTGAGACATCCATCTGACTTTTCCAGTTGAGAAGCCAATCTTCAGTGAAATCCCCCCAAAGCAGGCAAATGAGCTGAATTATTGCGAGAAGAGCAGCCCCACAATGAGACCAAAAACCCCAAATCCAAACAAAGCAGGAGAGCCAGGAGAGGAGCTGGGTTTGGAGAGGGCTCTGCAGCCCCACTGCAGGATGAGCAGTGATTACTTCCCGAGGAGAGGAGCTCTGTGGCACACTGAAAGCCTTTAATTTCCACCCCCTTGTTTAAGTGAGATTACTGCTCCCCAAAGCCAACAACAATAGATTTCCTAAGTTTCCTGTGCCTTGCCAGCAAAGCAAATATCCTCTGGTAAATCTCTGAGCTGAACAGTGATTTTTCACTTTTACAACAGCACAATCAATGCAATTTTCCAGTTAGAAGTCTCCAGCCTCCCCCTATCAGCTGGTTAATGCTCAAGTGTCATACTCCAAACCATGCCTGGGAGAATCTCCACAGACTCTGCCATCCCAGGTTACTCTGAACATGGAATTCATCACTTATGAATCACTTCAGTGTGTGTAAACACTTGAATCACTAAGCCAGATCTAATACTGTACACAGTAATCAAGGGATGTTGTCGGGGGAGGCACTGAGGCAGCTCTGAAATCCTGCCTTGTAGAGTTCCACTGTTCAAAGCAGGTTCTGTGCTTGTGAACACGTTTTATTTGCAGATGCTAAATGCCTGGGAAATATCTGCAGGCTTTGTGCCTTCTCAGGACACTCACAGGAGTAGCAGAACCCCCAAACACTGCTCACCCAACTGCGTCTTTCCCTGGTATTTAAGATCCTTGTAACTTCCACCAACCCCGTGGCAACACGGCCAGGTTCAAGCTGGAAATGCCATTTCATTTCAGCAGCTTTTTGCATCAGATCACAGAGATTGGATTCCAAGGAAGAAAATAAAACTCATCCCTAAAACCCAGTCATTTTTCTCCCTTAAAATGAAATTAAAATGCTGTGAATGCCAGCACCTCCCAGCCCCCCCAGAGCATTCCAGGAGCTCTTCAGGCCAGCTCAGTGAAAGCTTCTGGCTCCTGAGGACACTGTGAGGTGACATTTTGCTGCCCAGGTGGCACAAACCTTGATGCCCAGCTCGATGTTCTCCCCTCCGTACACGTCCATGCCGGGGTCCAGCAGCCCGATCTCCCCAAAAAACTTCCTGTTGACCACGAAGGAGCAGCCGATCATGGCCGGGGTCCTGCACGGGAGAGAGCCCCAGGAACAGAGTTAGGGACAGGGAGAGCCCCAGGAACAGAGTTAGGGACAGGGAGAGAGCCCCAGGAATTGGGGACAGGGAGAGAGCCCCAGGAATTGGGGACAGGGAGAGAGCCCCAGGAACTGGGGACAGGGAGAGAGCCCCAGGAATTGGGGATGCTGCCCCATCTCTGCTGGGCCATTGCTGCACAGCTGCTGGGCTCAGCTGCCTCCCACCACTGCCTATCCCAGAGATTTCGTGGCAATGAAGACGTTGTTTTACCACTGCAATAAATTGTCCAAAATCCAAGCTCATTTCAGTCTGTACAGACTGGAGAAAAGTTTTCCCCACGTTGAATTATGAGGGAGCTCCCGAGCTGGAGACTCCTCCGGGTGTCTGTGGGCAAGGGCACAACCTCTGCCCATAAAGGAATGAACTACAATAACAGCCTTTCCCTTCTCTTACTTCCAGCACATCTGGAACAGAGCAGACTTTAGGATAGGTGTTTTTAGGGTATTCCAGAAAAGAGTGTTCCCAGCTGGAATCACAAAGGAGCCATCACCACCAGCAGCAAGCTCACTGCAAATTTGTAGAAGCAAATCCTTTAAGAACTGTTTGCAGAAGCCTGTGTGGGGTCATTTCCCAGTTCCCCCAGTGTCAGCAGGGCTCTGGGTTAGGGATCAAGTTGTCACATCCACCCTGCACCTTGTGCCCTTCAGCTCAGAGCTCTCAGCTCTGAGGAGCAGCCAGGACCAGGGGCTGGACAGGGAAATAACACAGAAAACTGGGAGCATCAGTGGAATAGCACAAGGAGGGAGGGAAATCACAGTGCCAGGGGTTAATTTGTCATAACTGTGCAATTTTAAGGACTTTATAGATGGTTGTGTTTACTAATGACCCTCATTACTCACAAACCTCTGGGCCGGCTCTCCAGCTGCCCTGAGATGAGGATGCAGTTGTGATTCACACTCTGAGATCACATTTCAGGGGATTTTCTGAGCCCTTCTGACCCTCTCCATAAAACTGCACTTTGCCCAGAGCCCAGCACTGAGCAATCCCAAGTGGTTCTGCCTGTGCTGCTCGGGGGCACTCAGCTGCTGCTGTCACGGTGTGTGCAGTCTGCCCCAGGATGGTCCCTGTGCTGAAACAGGGATAGAAAAAGGGTTCTCCCATCTGACTGCTGCTCTCTGAATCCATGTTGAAAAGAAAAAACCCAGGGATCCACTCAGTCCAGCAGGGCGGTGCCAGATTTCACAGCTCATCTCCACCAACAGCCACCAAACTCATCCCGATGAAAACCACGAGTTCCTCGGATGAAAGCTTCTGCCCACTTTAATATTATTATTTATAGACATTTTAATATTTCTAATAGAAAGTAGAAGAGCTGAATGCTGCTGCCACATTAAATTAGTTCCAATTGGACTCCATCAGAGGGTTTTTCCAATAGATTTCTTCCCTGACAGCTGGCTCAGCCTTCCTTCCACGGAGCAGGATAATGTTTCATGGTTTGCTGCCACTCTGGTGCTTAAGATTTCAATTCTCTTGCTTTATTTGTAGCAAGTTAACTGCCATTAACAGAAACAATTCCTTCTGAAATGATAACCACCTTACAGATGCCAAATCTAATAGTTCCATTATCCTAGATTGCCTCCTGGAATTTAAGAGAAGGGAGAATTGCTCTGGTTTTATCCGGAGTATGAACAAGGCAGTTCATCTCCTCCACTGGGAATAGGTGTGCAAACCTCTGACTTCTCCTGTCAAAACCTGTTAGAGGCACTCAGAGGAGGGGTAAAAGCCAGAAAAAGAACCCAGGAGAAAGTTTCAGACAAAGGAAACTGCATTTGGACCCAATAATGTGGATCAGTGGGAACTCTCAGCCAGGCAAACGAGGTTTTCTGGACTGGAAGCAGCTCAGGAGCCGAGGACAGGAGCTGTACCCCAAGAGCTTCTTCTGTTATTTATAAATCATGGAATGGGCTGGATTGGAGCAACGTCAGAGCCCATCCAGAGCCACCCCTGCCATGGCAGGGACACCTTCCACTGTCCCAGGCTGCTCCAAACCCCGTCCAGCCTGGGACATCCCAGGGATCCAGGGGCAGCCCCAGCTGCTCTGGGAATTCCATCCCAGCCCCTGCCCACCCTGCCAGGAACAATTCCTTCCTGAGACTTCACAACATGACTTCACTTGATAAAGCACAGAGACATCAATCCTTCCCAAAATTCTCTTGGAAACGGCTTAACTGGGACTGAGAAACTTCACCTTCACTTTTCCCCTTCCCTGTTGTGCTGCACGTGCTGCCACAGCCCAGGAAGCTCCCAGGGCACCGCTCCTGCTCCCCCAAGCAATCCAAATTAAATGCTCCATTCTCCTCTCTAACAATGCCTCCACATTAAATAAATGAGGAATCAAGCAGCTCTCAACAATTTAAATAAAAACACCATTTGATTTGGGAGCAAATCCCTCAAAAAGGTGGCCATGACAAAAACGGATTGCTCATCCCCAACGAAATAATGGCCTGCAGACAAAGAGCTGATAAAGCCTCTTGTTCCTCTGCCCCTTAATTAAAAGCATTAACAGAGCTTGTTTTTAAAAATCACCCAGCTCAGCCAAATGCATTTTTATTTGTCCCGATAGCTATTCTCCCTTTAATGAGAAAGGAAAAGCAGAATTTGGCAGGAAGGAAGAAGAGACATTGAGCAGAATTATTGGGTTGGTATCCAGAACTCCACAGTGTCCCTTGCCATTCTTTTGGTTGGTTCTTCTATAAGAACAAGTGAAAAAGGTCAAGAAGAGCAGGTTTTATGAAATATCCTCCTCATGGATCTCCAAATAAAGATGAAGGGGATACAGGGGAAAACATTTATCCTGCTCTATTAAGTTACTTTAATGGTCTTCCTTTCTTCAGCTCACAGTTATCATCTAATGATTAAAAAGTCTCAAGGAGATTACTCCTTCAATTCAAGGAAATTAATTTTCCCCCACAATTGGATTTGGCTTCCAATTTTACTCTAAAGAACAGGTTATAAAATATGTAGAAAAAGATATTAAAAAAATAATTAGTGGGTTTACCATCGACTGCAAGAGGCTGAGAACAGACTGGAAGAACTTCCAGGGTGTCCAGTTCCTGTTAAACTGCTGCTGGTTCTAAGAAACTTGGATCATGGAGCTGCTCACCTTCCACACCACAAGGCACTGCCCCACCTTGGAGCGTTTGGGACAGCCCTGCACCTGCCCAGAAGGAATTTCTTCGTCCTCTCCCAACCTTGCCATTCCTAATTCAACACCCTGAATTCACACAATCATGGAATGGGGTTGGAAAGACCTTAGAGCTCCCCCGGTGCCACCCAGCAGGGACAGGGACCTTGGCCAGGGCAGGGGGAGGCAGCTGCTGGAGCCTGATGGCAAAAACATCTTTTGTGTCCCCCACAGCCCATCTGCAAAGGGGTGACACACTCCTGAGCAGAGGAATCACCTCTGGGCACAGCTCCCAGCTCCCCCTCACTGCCAGGAAACACAGACATGTCTTTCCCAGGAGTGAAACCAAATGTCCATGAAGGAATGGCACCTCAGTCCCCAGCAGCAGCATCCCTTCCTCAATCTCATCCCCAGGGCAGCAGCTCCGAGAGCTGCTCTTTGACAATTCCTGTTTCCCTGCCCCAGTGCCCTCGGTTAATTGTCTGTTTCCAATGGGTTTATTTCCCAGCTGTTGCCAAGTACCACAGAACCTGGGAAACAAATTAAAAATAAGAGATACCACATAAAAGAGAAGCCAGGCTGAGAGACTGAATGGCTTTGCTGAATTTACTGGAGATTAATACCACTTAAACTTTAATGGCAAGGAGGCTGTGAAAACTGGATTTTTAAAAATGCCTCCTACACATACCCCTAGCTGTGACCTTGCTGAACACACATTTGACTTTGTCACTGTTCTCTGCCTGCTCTGGGACTTAAGGCAAACCATTCAGCTCCTCTGTAGTTCTGTTTTCTCCTCTGTCAGCTGAGTTCAACACCTGGATGCTCTTGAGAAAAAACATTTATAAATCAGTTCAGTGCTTTCCCCACTGGAGCTGCTGAGTTCACTGCTGGTACCACTACGGGTGGCAGCCCCTCAGTCCCTGGTGAGGGGAGCACTGTGCTTAACAAAGCCCTGAGCAAGGCTTTGCTGTGTCCCAGCCTTGCTGCCAGCCCCTGCTGCCCACCCTGTGCCAGACCCAGCCTGGGAACCACTCCTGATTTCACTTTCTGTGTCCAAACTCAACAAAACCTCCCCTTCAGGATGAAGCTGCTGCCTCAGCCACTGCCTAAAAGCCTTTTCCTTGCTGGTGCTGTCTCAGAGCCCAAGGATGTCCCAGCACTGGGGATCTCTGGGTGCTTGGGCACCTCCTCCGTGCCCCAGGCACTTGGTCCAGCTGTGCCCGGGTGGAAGAGCTGCTGTGGGCTGCCAGATGTGCAGGGAGCAGCTGTCCCCAGGGCTGTGTTCTGTCACCTGGGGTAAAGCTCCAGCAGGGACAGTGAGGTTTGCTGCTGCCCCATCAGCTGGAGTGTGGCCACCAGCAGGACAGAAAGTCCTGACAAAGACAAGCAGCTCCAAATTCTGCCCTGAGCCAGAAGGAAATGCAGGAGCCCTCAGCTGTGGGTCCAGGAGAGCTGCTGCTCCTCAGTGGGGCAGGGAAGGAGAGCACCCCCTTTACTGACCCCAGACAGGGAACATCAGTGAGCTGAAGCCAGCCCCAAGCGCCTCCTCGGGGGTTTAATCCCAGGGAGGATTAATCAAACCTTTGAGGGGGTTTAATCCCAGGGCATCTCCTCTGAACTGTGCAGATCAGCCTGATTTATGATTTATTCCGTGGCAGGGATGCACAGCTCCCCAGGGCAAAGGCAGCCCGGGGCTCAGGAGCTGCCAGTTTAAAAACTCATTTGTGCTAATTGGCAGTCACTGAAACCCGGCTCATTGGCACTGGGAGCGAGCAGGAGGGGCCCCACCTGAGCTGGGATTTAACAC